AGTCTCTGATTCTGAGCAGAAGATTGGCAACAGTGAAATGTCATATACTTACCCATATACATTTACTATCTTGCTCTTGGTTTAAAAAATGGCTGGTCAGCCCTTATCTGTTAATCATAGCCAATATAATACAAATTGGTTGAGTAAGAGGCACTTCCACACTGTTTTAGACAACTTATGAAAAGTTTAAAGATGTCTATGTTGATGATGGAATCTAAAAATATATCTCTTTTATGTGGGTATATACTGTAATGTTAACAAATTTATCAAATACATAACTTTTAGTAGTAATTTAGGCATAAAAACACTCATAAAACAGTATGATAGTGCTGTAAGATTTTTTTTTACTACAGTCAGTTAGATCTTTGAATTTCAAAGATTTGCCTTGCCCCACAATGCTGTTACTGATTATCTTAAATGTTAAAATACTTTTTTGTTTTTTTTTTCATAGATTTATTTTAAGCTCATTGTTATATTGAGTAACAAGTTAAGTTAATTGATAAAGTAAATATTTTTTTTTTACTGTCAAAGTGCAGCCCCCATTTAGTCAGTGATGATTCCTTTAAATTGTAAAACCTTGTGTTATCATTAATCCAATATTTTGTCTCGTCTCCTCATGAATATAGTGACTGACTGAACAGAAGTGCATCATACAACCCCACAAGTGTCAAAACATGCAGATTGTTAAACCTCACAATAGCATAAAAACTTGCAGTTTAAAAATAACTGAGTACATTCTTTACTTACACACAAATTTCATTATTTCTTTTCTATTTTTAAGGCTCATGCTGATATTCTGGATGATGCCATGAAGGGGATGCAGGTTGGTCTCCTGATTGCCTGTGAAGGTAGTGAACAGGGGGCCATCCCACACGAGGTCTTCGACGTGGCAGTTGTGGTGCAGGAGACCATTGTGCTTCACAATATTAAAGATGTGACAGTTGGCTTTGCTATGCTTATGGGTGTCATCTACTGTATCAATCTCAAGTATCCAAATGACATGAAGTATTCGTTCGAGTTTCTTCAGAGAGTGGTGATGAAGATCAGTCCAGACCAGGCCTCAGCTCGAGTACATGGTTTGAGAAACAAAATCCTGAGGTACAAACTATAACATCTGGTATGTTTACAGTTTTGTTTTCTTAAATAAGAGTTCCTGTAAGAATTTGTTCAGTTTGTTCTATGCACTAAATGTTAATACTAATGGTTATGCACTAAAACATTTAGCATTGTGCTGAATCTGTGGAAAAACCTCTCAGGATTTTTGTGAGTTTGTTAAAACACTGATCATTTTGCACTTTTTGGACTGTTTTTGACAGATGGTAGCTAGTTGTATTGACTTTGGACTGCTACTGTTCAACGTGGTTAGAATGTTTTGTAAAATAATGGTCTATATGGAGGACTGAAACTCGCCAATAAAATGCACTTAAAATGCACCATACCTCACAAATTTTTTACAATAAAACTTTAGGTAGTGTTCTTAATTGGTGCCTTTTAAGTGCATTTATTTATTGAGATTTATATAAAAAATATTTGTTATTTGTCAAAGAATTTATTTCTGCTTTGGTCCTTCAATAAATGTAAACACTTCTGCTTGTCTCGAACAAATGTTTTCTTTTTACACTTGATTTAAGGCTTGTCTCATATTTGATAGAGAAAGAAAAATAAATGTATAATTTGAAATGGAAGCGTATTGGTGTAATTATTTTTAGAAAACTGGTAAACTTGGCATTGTTAGAGGAGAAAGTGAGCAAAATTTGGAAATGTTAGTTTACTTAAATTGCAATTTGAAGTTCAGTAGCTGCCTTAAACTCTTGAGTTAAATTAACTCAAAAAGGGAATATAATTGTTTGCTACTTCAACAAAATAAAACATGTTTTTTTGAATGGATAATGTAACTTTGTAAGGCCTTTAAACTTGGAGTATGAAGTTCATACAACTAGTAGTCATTAGTTAGACAAGTGGTATAACTTAATTATTTGAGTTCAAATAGAATATGATTTTAATTTTACTTGACAAGAGTACTCAATTTATTAAGAATGAATAATGTTCTATAGTTAGTCATTTCAATTTATGGTATTATCAGCAATTGAGCTACTTTTCTAGCTTGCCATCCTAAGTTGGAAAAAAACATTATTTCAAGTTGTGTTAACTTGTCCTTTTAAGGCAGCTGCTTAACTCAAGTTTTTAAGTTTAACCAGCCTAATTATTTTTACAGTGTAGCTGTCTTCAGTTGTCCTTCCAAAAGAATACAGCGAGTTTGTGAGAGAGAGAGAGGAATTGGAGGGGGAGATACACAAAAAAGTACGAAAAAACGTGGACCTGGTTCAGAAAAAGATGAGGGAATCTTTTTCTAAAAGGGCAAGCAAAAAATACAAAAACTTTAAATTCAAGGAAGGGGATGAGGTTCTCTTGTACAATTCCCGAAAGAGAAGGAGGAAAGGAGCCAGGATGGAGCCTGACTACTCTGGACCATATGTCATCCAGGAACTTGTAGGGAAGACAGCTGTGTTGATGACAGCAAAAGGAAACATCCTAAAAACAAAACATAGTGTCAGTCACTTAAAGCCCTACAAAAGAGGCAGTGAGGCAGGAAATACAGATGGTTCTGCAATGGGAGTTGAGGTGCAAGAGAGGGAGTCTGTAATCAGATACACTGGTAAAACAGAAGTACTGACAGAGACTGAAGACCAGGATCCTTCTGGGGTTTTCCAGTCCCCCCCCTCCCAAGTTGCCTCGGTCGTCTCCCTCACCCCTTAGGGCACGTGTCAAACTCAAGGCCCGCGGGCCAGATGTGGCCCACCATGTCATTTTATGTGGCCCGCGAGAGATTAAAAGTTTTCAGTGTCTAAAAATGAATAACAAAAAAAATAAAATAAATTAAGAGCGTGCTTTGACCAAAAATTACATTTCCTACAATGCCTTTCAACTACTGTACCCGCGGCAGCGTTTCCATGCCAACAAGTGGAATTGAGATATGAATAACGTTCCCAAAATGTCCAGAAAGAGAAATGTTGATGCAGATGGAAGACTGTTTCAAGAAAGATGGAAAGGCGAATACTTGTTTGTGCTTCAAGGAGAAAGACCGGTAGGCTGTCTTTTGTGTTACGAGTCGGTGTCGGTTGTCAAAGAATATAATCTGCGTCGACATTTTGACACCAAACACGGAGCTAAGTACGCTAAAGCTAGCCTTCAAGAAAAGCAACAAATTGCCCAAGAATTAAAAGGCAAACTGAGGTCGCAGCAGAGTTTGTTCAGGAAATCCACAGCCACAAACGAGCCGCAGTGAAAGCTAGCTTCATTGTGGCTGAAGAAATCGCCCGCGCTTCTAAGTCTTTCTCAGAGGGAGCGTTTTTGAAGCAGTGCATGCTGAAGGTCTGTGAGCAGGTGTGTCCCCACCAGTTACAGAGTTTTAAAAATGTCAGCTTATCAAGAAACACCATCGCGAACTGAGTGAAGGAACTATGCCCTGATAATTTAAAACTACACATTTGAACTAAACAATTCTTATTTTTTCAGCTCTTCTGAAAGAAGTTCTGATAAATCAACAAATTCTAATGGATCAGCAAAAGAACATAATCAGAATGATCCAAGATTTGCAAAGATCCAACAGTGGTGTCACAGGGATTCCCATCACTTCATCCCACATGACCATCTTCCCTCTGAGTGATAAGCCTGCCCTGTATAAACTTGAGAAGGATCTAGCAAATCAACCAGACCTCCGTAAAGAACTGGTGAGCTGCTTTCAATTTCTTTTTTTAATTGATGTTTATGCCGAATTGATGATGGAAAATGGGACTCTTTTATTTTGAATTCCTAATTTTGTTGTTTTTTTCTTTTTGTACTTAGGTCATCACTCTTGGATTGGCAGGGGGGGGCAACAGTAAAAGAAACTGTGTGGCGCATTTTAAAACAGGCCATCAAAAATTACCTTGCTAAGACGATCTCATGGCGTGGCCTGAATGGCAAGGTGCCTTTTGAAAAGCTCCAGCTCAGGGCAGTTGTGACAGGTAAGGATTATCCTGCACCCATATTGACTATTTATTCTATTATTATTATTATTTGTCTTGATTAGAATTAAACAGAATTTAATCTCCCATGCCCTTTAGGCAATGCTCATGACCACTGTTTAATGATCACGATTGCAGTTTGTAAATTGGATGAGCTGTTTGCCATGTTAATTGTACCAGGTTAAGTTTTTCTTGCAGTATTGTTTTTCTTTAATTTGTTATGTCATTTTCAGATGCTGTCAGACGTAACCCAATCTGTCTGGAAGCAACTGATCTGACCATTGCTGATGCTATTAAAAGGTGGTTCTACTGGGCTGGGGATCGAGAGGGGGGGAGGAAAAATCGGCTGCCAGGCTCCAGCCGAGGGCAGCCAGCAGAATAATTGTATCAATCCTTAATTTATTGTTTTAAGACATTAATTAAAAAAATAACGTGTATATATATATATAAAAAAAATTATACCCTTCGTCTCTTTACAGAATGTCTATTCGGGAGGTCCTCCACGACAAGGTTCACGGACCTTATTTCAGGCCCCCCCCCGCTTAAGATCCGCGTCTTGGCGACCAGGGAGCAGACGCGGGTCCTGTCCTGGGAGTTCGGGGAGACGACGACCACCCCAAAAACGGTTAAAGTTACACTTTTTGAGGAATTTTCCTCAAAAATTCAAACCGACAGTTCCTACCTGATGAGGGGTTACTCCCTCAGGGGCCAGTCCCCCCCCTATGCTCTGCTCGTCACCAGGGACACCCAATT